CCCCCCCCCACCCACCCATTCCTGCAAGGAGGTTTAATGGTAGTTCAAATTAGGAGCTCTTCTGTGCTGCAAGTAGCTGCGGGCAGGTAGTTCGAATTACGGGCATTTAAAAATATTTAAATCCTGGGCTTCATTTGCAAGTTCGAATGCCTACATTAGCCACCCTAGTTCAAACTAGGGTGGCAGTGTACACATACCCAAAGAGACTTGAATATGAGATTTTCATCCAGAAAATGACTTAAACACATTGAATAATCTAATACGTATCAATTGCTTCAATTGTGAAATGTTTAGACCAATTTCCTTCAATCTTTGCGCAAGTAATAGGGAAAAATATCTGTTGGGGTTAAACAACCTTGAAATGTTTTTTAGGGAGGGGCAAGGTGTTTTTCTTGGCAAAATTTAAGGGGATCAAATTAGTATTTAGATGAGGACCCTGGTAGCATACATTAGAAAAGCACTGATAGCATGTGTCAATAAGGAGCAGCCTCTGTTGGCCTCCTTAGACTTAAATGCATTTCTCTTAGGAATAAAAAATATACATGGGATATTCACCTATGCATCCCTACTGGCAAATATAGAGCTTTTTACAGTGCCTGGAAAATCTTTTTTACTGAGGCAGATTCTCAAACCCTAAAAAGCATGCCAGAAACTTGTGGGGAACAGTACATTTCCTCTGCATAGCACATTTAATCTTTCAAGTATTTGTACAAAGTGAAGTTTGATTAGTACTATCTGTCAATCCACACCAAAGAGCTTTCCTTTTTGTGAATGCATTTGAAGGTCATAAAATAATGTCTGTATGAGACTGATAAGGACTGTCTTAGGATGAAACATTGTTTTAAAATCTAACTTTATATGGTAATTGTGGAGTCTACCTTTACCATGTCAATTGACAAAAAAGCCTCTTCTATAAAAGCATTTTTTTGCTTCACATCAAGGATATTACACACAACAATCTTAAGTATTAGTTGTCCCATGATGTGAGCCACCAAAGGATTTCTAACAAATTTTTTTACAGTAAAAACAGCAAGGTGATGTTTTGCATTGTAATAATATAAACATATAAAGCAGCAACAGTTTCTTCTTATCAGCTATTGTAAAAGTGTATCATTTAGCACGATACACATATTTTATGGGCTCATCTTTGCACCAGCTCTGGGCAAAGATGTAATGTTCTTGTTACAAGTTGAAATCCTGATTTAATAAGATAATTTTTCTTAATCATCGTTAGGCTTGTATCTTCTAACATGCCTTTATATGAGGTATAACGAAAACGTTTGTGTTGTGTCATAAATATCAAGACGCTAAAAAAAAAGTATGACCTCTAAACTTTGTCAGTCAGACTCTGTTTATAATAGAGATTATCCTAGATACTGAAACATACATTTTACTCTGCAGCCAGTGCCGCTCAGCCCCTCACAGTTCAATGTCTGACTTATGCTGGTGTATCAACCAGAAAGTCATCCTGGGAAGCTGTCTGACAGGAATGCAGGCTGACTGATTGCTTCTGCTTCAGACCTTGTTTTGCTTTGGACTCTAGATTCTGGCTTTCAACCCCGGTTTGTCCCAGACTCTATTTGCTAGCTACTTGCAACTTGGTACCTGAACAGGTGTGATTCTAATTTTGCTACTGGTCTCCTGGCTGCAGTTTAGTAGATTAGTGAACAAAGGCTGCCCAGTGCCTAGATATATGATGTGCAGAAAACACTTTTTCTGAGAGACCTTCTGAAATATCTATTTCTTTCACTCTCCCTCTCATTTTTCCACTCCCAAGTTCCCCCCAAACCAACAGTATATAGGAAAAATTAATCTTGAAAATAACTTACCGGCTTGAAAATGAGTACATTTACTAATCAGCACAAACATGCACTTTATTTCTGTAAGTGGGTTCACAGCCCTTTTTATCGTATCTTCTCTAAGTCACTGATCCAGGAATCTGATCTGATCAGTCAGACCTCAGAAGTAGAATCTACATGTACACAGAACTCTGCTTATGTTGACAAGATAGCTCAGTCAGGATCTTGGACTAAACATTTTTATAGGTTGCATGTTGGCTTTTGTTTATCTGCAAACACCATATTATGGCACTGGATTAAAAAAAAGAGAGAAAACAGAGATTTTCCATTAACTTTTGAAAATGAAAATCTGGAGGGAATTGGTTTGGAAGTTAACATTTTTATCAAGTTATTTTTAAATATAATAGTAGCTCCTAGAGGTGGTAATTGTGATTATGGCATAAT